CCGGAGTAAAGGCTGACTTCAACCCGAAGAGTTCGATAAAATATGACGGATGACAAAGGCATCACGAAAATCTACCATACCCTTCAACACGACGAGGTGCGTAGTCTGCATTCGGAAAACTCTGCTGGTCGGTACCTGGGTGGATAGACCACAGGGACAATACATCCCCCAGGTGATCGATTGGCTGCAAACCATACTGTTCAGAGGTAACCCAGTTCAGTATCTCTTCGATTACTTGTCTCTTCTCTACTAATCTCTATTGTAGCATAAGTTCCTGGCACCCACTAGCCTAGCACCGTTTTTGTTTCATTCACAATTAAGCATTTCCACACACAGTTTCATAGGATAATTGATGACTTCATGGCTGTCATGATTATGAATCCAGTGAGAACCGTGGCATCAGCAAAACAGGTAACCACACTCTTCCCTGTGGGGAGATAGGGTGCTCTGCAGAATCCAAGGTAATCTCACCACCTCATGAGGCCTCAGGTGCAATGATAGGTAGGACTAATAAGGAGAAAGCCCATCCTGTCACAAACAAGACCGATGGCAGAAAGAAGTTCATCGGAGTAGGCTCGCCCAGATCCGATCAGCACAAACTATTATTTCTACTTAAAGGTTCCGACTCATCTCCCATAAATCTTTCCAGTAAGGTTCCAAACCCAAGCAATAAGGGACCAGCATCGACATCCGAGTTGCACCGTAACAGACTCGACAACCACGAGGATTCAATAAACCGACAATCAATAACTCACTGCGCAGCGTCTTAAGAAAGCTAGAAGCGAACGTGGACATGGCTTTCGGAAGAAACCGCAACGTGATGGTAGGGGTCTGGCTGAACCACGTCGGGAGACACGCAAGCCCGAACACGACCAACTCCACCAGGTACTTAATATCTTATGACTTGCTAATATCCCATGGCATGTCCATATCAAATGAACCCTGCGCCAGGAGAAATGGAGAGAAAACCTCCCATGTTGCCAGCAAAGGTAACCCAAGACCAAAACTGGAAGAATTCCGAAACCCTAGATACCGGAATGCCATGTCAACTGCAGCAGGCCATGTGCAGCTCTAAGCAGAGGGCAAGATCACCGTAGTCCCTGATTATGCGAATAGCTGTATAAGTGAAGCTTCTGTGCCACCACTCACACCAGGCAGCGCCAGGCGACTGATCGTAAGGGTACAACCTTCCACACCTAAGGTTTCACGGAGCCCTAAGTCCCGAATTCCCGGGTCCTCCCCAAATTAATCGGCATTATTGTTCAACCATTCCGACACCGAAACAGCTGAATGCAGCGCCTTCTACTGCTGTAACCTCAATCTGTGGGAGTCCTCATAGGACGGACTCTACCACCGAGACAAAAACTCGGCGGGCATCCGGGCATACGCTCTGGGTGCAGTCTTCTATCGCTAAGGGAACACACGGTGCAAACATTGGATGTTCTCTACACTAATGCCTGCAGCCTAATGAAGAAGTGGCCCGACATAGCAGGAGAAGCAGGGACGGCCACTTGCATAGTAGTCACTGCAACTTGGCTGAAACCAGATTTCAACACCGCAGGGTTACACCCACCAGGTGATTTGGCCTATCGATGTGATCGCACCGACGGTCGCATCGGTGGTGGTTCCCTAAGACTCGTAGCGGAACACGTAACACAAGCAGCCATAACCATTCTGGGGACAAAGAACATCCAATCCACCGGGTACTTGCTAAAACAACCTCATAGTGCAGTAGCAGTAGTCTGCACATACTGTAGTCCCTGGTCCTCCACAGAGGAGGATGACCAGTTTATGGCCCACCTCAGGCAAGTAGCGGGACAAGCCAACAGGGTTCTGCGTTTAGGTGACCTAAATGCTCCTGAGGTTGACTGGCTGACGGAAAACCCCCCTCCGGCAGCTTCGTAGAGAAATTGCTGGACTTAGTGCTCAACTCTGCCCTGATACAGCACTGTTGTGGC